ATATATATATATATATATATATATGTATGTACGCATTCTACGTGAAAGGCGATTAAATTAAACGCCGATAAACCAACCTACTTTCAACATTTCAGTAGCACAGTGTGCAACTTACGATTTAGGTGAGGAGCAATTAAAGTGTGTATTTATACGCACGGTTTGCATGCAAGCAAATTTAAAGACACATGAAAAGTAGAGCAAATGATACACGGAAACAACTGTTAATACGCATTTTTCATTTGCAGCCTTTAAAACAAATAAATGAAACGAAGACACGCGTTCGTTGGTCCACGTAAAGATTAAAGTCACGTTTATCGAATAAAATGCAAATAAAATCGTAAACAACGGTGATTTGAAATCTGACCCACTGTCGGAAGGAAATTTTCAGGTAGTGAGCCTGGTAGAAAGCCACTTCACCTGATTTCGTTTGGATCCCATTGGTATTGAAAGTGTTTCGCGGAAACGACCCACGGGTGCGAAGTCTCACGTGTACAAAAGTAAAAAGTATCAAAAGACCGTATCTATCGATGATGCAAGAATTGCATTCAACCGTGCAATCAATTCGATGCATTTTCTTGCTGACGCTTCGTTAAAATCTCATTAGCCATGAAAACACGTTGCTTGAAACATTATCGGCAATTATGTTTCACCTTTATCTGTTAATTCCTTTCTAAAAATCAATAGGTTCTCGACATTTATGCGAGAAAACGCGAGGAATTTCACTTAAGAATTTCCAATTCGACGCGAATCTGTTTCACTTTCTTGAATTGCCAGCTATCGTGCTTTACCTGCAATCGATTACATATCGTGGTATATACATATAAATACCGTTTAAACATAATTCAATCACTTTCGATTCATTTTTTGAGGACCTATATACTACAATACAGATTGACAGCATAGAGCTCGTTGGTAAAGCTTTTCCAGCGGTATAAAACAGAAACCGAAATTTCACTTCACATCCTGTTAATCAAGATCTCTGCACAGTCCATTCATTGCGCGAAATTTATTTTTGGAATGCATGGATGAAAGAAACCTTTTTAATGTATTGCGGATAAAGCCACGCGAAACGATTTATTAACGCTTGAAACGAAACTGGAAAGCCAGAGAGAAGAGATTTCAACTTTAAAGCAAGCCAAAGGAATTACTTTGCCAGTCACACCATGAAATCCCAACTTTTTCGTTGTAAAAATATACATCTTCTTCTAGTACTACAAGAACTGATCTACAAGGGTGCGTTTAATTTAGTTAAGATTCTTTAGGAAATTCAACACATCACAACATCTAGATCGAAAGTAAGTTACATTTAATTACCTGTTGACAGGTTCCACACTGCATTATGTTGAATCCCTTTTATACTTGTCAAACTGGCATGATTATTTTTCTTTGTTCGAGATCCCTGCGGGCCAAAAATTTTGGACAACACTTTGTTTTACAATGTACAACCAATATCTCCCACTACCCCAAAGCGAGCCCGAGATATTACTTGGTGGAGGTAACTTTCAGCGAGACACGCTATATAAGAGAATGAAGAGACCGGCCGACCAAGATAAAGCTCGTGTGTTGTCAATCGTGCTGTTACTCCTCTACCGTCGTCGTTGACAGGTAAGTGGGGTAGAAAAGTACGCTCTAAGAAATTTCAGCGAGGACAAATGTGGGACCAGTGACGAACCAATCGAACAGTGCAAGTGTTTCCCATGTTGGAAACAAAGGTCCAAATGAGACCTTTCATCTGTGTATCATTGGTGTTCTTTCTCCTCGAATGTGTGAATAATCGTCTGGAATAATTAACGATAAACAAACGGTCCGGATGATCAATCCAAACAACGTAATCCAATGTAATCGAATGCCAATGTGTATCGCGGTAGAGAAAATTCTATGGAGATATGATGAAAAATTTTTGCGAAATTATCGTCGTTATGCATGGCGGGACAGAGACTGCTGGCACGTGCCTTGGAAATGGGAAAGGAAACCGGTTGTGCGAGGGCGATCAGGAACTGCGAGTTAGGAATTTATGAAAGATTTTAGTACCATTATTACATTGATGTGTTACTGCACATCGATCTATTTTATCAATTATCTTTTATGTTGTAACAGGTCTCTAGAACAAAGTACTCTGCTTCATATAACATTCTTAAGTTTGTATAATATCGTTTTGCGTACTTTAAACGACACATATTTAATTGTGTGCGTGTAAAACCTGCTCCAGATTTCCATAAGAGCACGTCCAAGTCCGACAACTGGCCGACCAGTTACGTGTGCCTTCTACTGATTATACTGTCGCGTTCCTCTCGTTTGTAGTTGTCCGACAACTATCTCTTTTTTTCATTATGCAATTGCTTTCTTTAATACGACCCCGTGGACCTCGAGCATGGAACTTGGAAAGGAAAGATTTAAAAGCAAATTAATCTCTCGAGTCAGCTAAATTCTATTTCAAAAATCCTATTAAATTTCAGAGTAATCTTCGAAACGTTTGAGTGAACTCTCTGACAGTTTCCAAACTGCTCATCCAGCTAATCGTCACTATGTAAGTACACTCGAGTAGAAAAGAAATTAAACTCGCGCAATGACGTTCTCAGTAATCTCTGAAAGTTGCGATCAAGAGACGTTAACTACGTTTGATCATATACCAACACGCGGAGAAAGTTTTTACGATTTTCCTTGATCAATGATCTCGGTGAAACTGAAATAGAAATAGAGCACGGAAAGAATAGTGATCATGTCCCTAACGATCCTTCGAGTTCTATCGAGTCCTCGATCGGTGTCCTTCCCAGCTGCGAACCTTGGACGATATTGCATTACGATCTGCATGATCTTACTTCGTAACATAACAACATAAATTCGCAACACTCGAGCAAATACGTTCCCATTTTTCTCCAGGTAGTATCATTTTTACACGCAGGCCCTCTCACTTTCACTCGCGGCTGCCGATCGAACCAAGTTTGTGACTGACTCTTTAACGATCGGCCGGTTTGCGGACCTCGTGCCTAGTAAAGACAAGATTCTCATTAAGAGCGACAACTACATTTTTTTTTTTTATTTTCCCCAGTCGCCATTTATACCATTTTGTTGCTTTAAATGGACTGGTTAATCAAGTAAATCGACACGATGATCCAGGACCTACGCGAGTAACAGATTGCATAAGCAAAAGTTGCACGAAACAGGGGAAAAAACAAGTTATTAGATTCGAGCTTTGTAACAACAGCTCGGGAAACCTTTCATTCTGATCCACTTCCGTGTCTCTGCTGCATTTAATTCGAAAGATTTTTGACAAAAGTATCTTTCAATCTGACTACTCTTTAAATTCTTGAATTTTATGGGATGCATGGTCATTCAAAATATTTCTTGCAATTTCATTAGCTTGATTTGTAAGAGGAAAGTGCAAGAGAATATTCATTACAATTTCTGTTTCTCCCCAATCTGTTTGTTATTATCTTAAATGTCACGATCACTTTAATTTCTCAATTTATCAATCTGCGTGATGTCTCCTGGCATTTGTCACCTCGCGTGAGATTTCTCTCAACAGCCGGCAGATCATTACCTCCGAGACGTCAAAATGTTCGCTTTCGTAAGTCGAGCCTTTCAGATTTATCGAAAGCCCCAGGTCTCTTGCGATACATCATCACCGTTACGAATGAGATGTTTCCAACGAATCGTGAAACCACTATCCGTGTTTTACGCACTTAGAAAGTATGGTGCTTTCCACAGCCATTATCGATAGAAGTGTAAACGGACGCGTTTCTTTCAAGACAAACAAAATAGACAGGTTTAACGAACTCTCGCTAAATTCGATGAGTATTAATAAATATATAATAATTATAAGCCAAGGCATGGGCTTGCGTGGAAACTCGATTGAGTCGTTTCACTTCGCATTTCCCGGTAGCTCTATTTCTCGCAAATATTCTAGGTCATCGACATCTGTGCTTTCTTTATGTTTGCACACCTTGCAACTTTTTCTAAACGATAATTTCGTTGCTTCTATCTCTCTTTTAGTGATTTCTCATTCCTAATACTTCGTAGTGAAATTGTAATGATATATTTGATTATTAAACGCTGCTCGAGCGTTGTTATTACCGTCGTCATTAATCAACTCGAACGTAAAAAGTAATTACATAAACGATATCTTGAAAGATAGTCGACGCGTGCGCGAGATGATAAATAAGATCGATTAGTTTATAAAATGATCGTAATATTTCGCGCGAGTGTGGCCATCAGCTTTACGTAAATCTAATGAAATATCGTTGCTTTTCACTTCGGCTCGGCCATCGTGGTTTATGGACGGCATCAAGAGCCAAGGTCGCTTTCCCTTGCACATGTCCGCCACAAATGGGATAAATTTTCTCTCTGTACTACATATTGGAACATATATTGCACGCGAGTCATCCTCGAGCGAGTGAAGAATCAGCGTGAATCGTTTAACGATGCTCTCTCGTTTTCCATTTGCAGAATGTATTGGCTTTGTCTGGCGGCATTAGCTGCGGCTGCGGCAGCGCAAAGCTCTTACGACTTAGAACCAAGAGTTTCTTTCCCGGGTAAATCATCCAGTTTAGGGCCACTGTACTCGTCTGGCCTTGGCGGTGGTCAAGGTTTCCGCGATAACAGCTACGAGGATAACATTGTAACGCCTACGCCTTCCCCGACGCCTGCCTACAGAAATCCCAGCAGTCAATCATCCGTAAGCAACAACAATGTAATAATTAATTTATTCGCGATTATTCACGTTTACAATGGAATTTTGTCGAGTCTCTCATTTTAAGGATTCTTCGGGTGAAAAGTAGAACAATTGAAATATGAATATTCCTTTTTAAGGAAAAGACCAGATATTTCTAGTGCTACGACTTAATATCATACCCTTACGTTTCATTTTTATTCATGCAATTACATGAACATGTATGTATGATTAAAGTTATCAGTTCCAACGAAAGCAGTTATGTCATGCAATATTTCATCTGTCGATGCGTGTTGGGTAACAAGTTACGTAAAAATAAATTACTTCCAATTGCTTTAACATATCGACTCAGGTATATATTTCATGTTGTACCATGCATAACCGAATATAAAAAATCCGCATACTTTCATGGAGATTATGATCCAAAGATTATAGGAAGAGTTTGATTGCTTTTCATTCATAAATATGAATAAAGATACTCTTCATTCACGAGTGTTCCGTTTTTCTTTTTTTTGTAGCTATACCGTAAACCGTCTCTCGATCAAACAGCTATCAGAGTGAATGGACCATCACGTGGTAGTATTGTCCGTGGTGGACAACCACAAAATCCTCGGGTAATTATACTTCTTAATGCCTAATAAAATTTCGGGGAATATCGATATACAGGTGAAACTGTTACGCTTTTGTATCTCACAATAAGTGAAAGTAGTGTAAGAAATTCTTGCATCCATTATTTGCAATTCCACACAGTAAACTTACGTAATGGCCAACCATCACGACGAGACGAAAGAAATGTTTTTGAAGAAGTGAGACGTTTTATTTTTGCAAAGTGATTTTGTCAGTGATTTCCAATAATTATTCGTTATTACTTTAACTACAGCTATCGAAATTAATCTGCAGCAATCATTGAGGTAATTTAATGAAAAAAGGATACAGTAGAGAAATAAAACGTCTTACATAAATGGTTCAGGAGTTATTTCGTCCGCATTAATTCTAACTGTGTTCTAAACTTAAAGGAGGTTGAAGAATTAGAAGAGAAAGAAGAGCCCGATCGTTTGACTCTTCTTTTGCCACAAAGTAAATTTGATTGTGTGAACAAGCAAACGGGCTATTATGCTGATGAAGATCTTAATTGTGAGGTCTTCCATTATTGTCAAGATAACGCGAGACACTCTTGGATCTGTCCCGAAGGATTTACATTCCATCAGGTAACTTTTAACAGCAAACACGATCTTTAAATAGATCTACTTTCCATGTTCGATGCAAGAATGCGAGATACTTTTCATACCTGTTCTGTTCCGTAATTACACGAGTGGTGACCTTTTACGCGCAATCGAAAACGTCGCTCCAAGTGAAAACGTTGAACGTATATAAAATTCTTGCGATCGTGCAAGCAGTCGAGTTCAAATATGCAACTGATAAGCAAATTTCACTTGTCTCGCGCTTTTTCGCGCCGCCTCTTCCGGTTTTCTGTACCCGGACAAACAGGTGAGTAAGGCCTGAATCATAAATCGTACGATCAATCGCCCGATACCAGTACACCGTTATGGCATATGCGTTTCCGGGGTAATCGACTCCTGTTCTCGGTAGCAGAGATGCAAATAAAAGCACACGTCGTGCGCTAACTGTCCCACGGAAATCCTTTCTCTCCTTAAACCTCGAGACCATGGACGTCGTTGCACAATTACATGGTATCTATTACAGGTTCACCTGATTTGTATGCCCCCGAGCGGTGACATTAGTTGCAAGAAGAGCTCGCAGTATCATTTCGTCAACGAGTACCTCTACAAACCATTGAACTTGGCTGAAGCTGAGACCAAGCCTAACGTAACCTTGAGATACAGTGAAAGATTTTTCCCCGCAGACATTCACCCGGACGAGCGCGAAGTTGGTGACTATCAGATCACTCCCTCTGCGCCTATTCGCCGTCCTACTCCGCCTGTAAGAGCTTATTGAAATGAATTACCTTCTTCTAAAACATGCAAAGCGAAAGAACATAAAAAATAGCGAGATATATATAAATGTATAGGTGTACGCCCAATCAGCCACGTTGAACAGCATCCCGTCGTCGGCGCGTCCACAACCAACGGGTCTTCCTCAATTTCGCTTACCAGTGAACCAAGTTTTTCGTAGCCCCGAGGAAGTCAACATCCCTCTTCAACATAGACGACCGCAACCTCAACACCAGACACCTGTGAGAAGATTCCCTCAAGTACGGCCTGATGACGAAGAGTATGAATAAATTTCAATCGGCATTTTTGATAATTATCACTCATCGTCGCAATCATCATCACATTTTTTTTGTCATTAATTATATTACATCTGGTGTCATCATACATCTTACGTTGAAATTACAAGAAAAAAACTACATTTTGGAATAATTATTATATTTATTCGAATAAAGTATAGTTGTAGTCCTATAAATTAATCGTATTGTACATTTCATATTCTTATTCTGTAAAAATTTGATAATCCTTTTTAGATTGAACACGATTCATATTATCGGATTTATAATTGATATGTAAAATTGAATATGAAATTACATTTATCGCAAGCATGTTAACATATGTATAATCGACATTACTTTAACAGTGATAACCAATAAATTGTTATTGCGTTATTTTTAGCGATGCTTGTTATCTTAGAATGTTGCTGCTACGGTTTAATTTAAGATGACGCAAAATTCAAATAAGACGCTTAAGTTTATGTACGCGGAGAAATAGTCAATCATCAGCTTGAATGAGTTTCGTACGATGTAAAATACATGGAAAAATGAAGCGCATCTATAAATAATGAAATT